ATTTAATTAATTTAATCTATTAGTTGTTTTATACGTTCAAATCAATTCAATTTAATGTTTTTCATATTTCACCATTTCATTATTGACTTTTCAATAGTTGAATTTAAAGTGAGAAAAACAAGTTTGAAGCCTAATTATTTAAATAGTTGATGTCACAAACTGTCCAACTGTCTCGAACTAATTTCGTATGCAAAACAGACCTTTTTTTTATTTTCTGCGGGAGCAACTTTCCCAACAGCATTCAACGCCGGTATTTTTGTGAAAAGAGCAAAAAGTTGTTAGTGGTCGTTGTTGGTTTCCTTCCCGAGTTCCTCACTGAAGATGGCATGAAGCCGAAATGCGTTTGAGTGAAATCTAAACCCGCGTAAATAGACAGGCGCAGTAGAGTGATCAAGTGTCAATAAAGCTTAAATATAAAACGAGATTTAATAAAATACTAATTGTGAAATCGCAATTGTGATATTTATTCATAATGAAATAATAAATATTGAAAATAACACCTTTAAAAAACTATTTTTCATTCCTCTTAGCTGATTTTTTGTTTATTTATTATTTGTCAATAATTAAAAAATGAAAAGAAAATTAATAAAAAAAATTAATTATACATGATGCATATTAGATTAAAATAAGACCTAAGGAGTAAAGTCTTCAGTTAATTAATTCAGGAATGTGTGAAAGAGGGATTGATTATTTGAATATAAGATTGTTTTTGGGCTGGGTAGATAATTTCGTTGCGAATTGGCGATATGAGGTGAAATTTTGCGTTACCGAGTGAGCACGCCTTGCCTAAGTTTGGTTAAGTTCAACCTCATTTTTAAACAAATTCTTTATATGATCATTAAAAGACTAGTCATAAATAAAAGCTGTTTAGTTTAGAGTTAGAATTAGGGTTAAGTTCGGTTAGGGTAAGGGTTTTAGGTTAGGATTATCGTTAGGTTAGGAGTAAGATTAGGGTTAACTGAGAGACGGGTTAGTTTCTGTTATGGTAAGTGCTAGATTAGGTAGGATTAGGATTTATGTTAGGGCTGGAACTAGGGTTAAGTTAGGCACGAATTAGGTTCGATTAGGGCAAGGGTGGGGTAAGTGTTAGGCTAAGATTGGGAAATTAAGATTGAAAAGTTAAATTAGGGACGGGTTTGGTTAGGGTAAGGGTTAGGGTTTGTCTTAAGTTAGATAGGGTAAAGGCAGGTAAGTTTAGGCTAGATAGGTTTAGTATTAAGAAAAGGGTTAGGTTACATATGATTTAATGTTTTTCCATGAAGCGGAGAAAATATATCAGTACGAATTGCCAGTTGGTTCACTTTTTTAATTTCTTATTTAACGTTTTACAAATCAAATGAAACACTTTCCATATGAGTTTAAACTCTGTCAAAGTGAAATGAAACACTTCCCATAATGGTTGAAATTCATTCTAAAACAAAATTATTTACGAATTCAATTTTTAAGAGTTTTATTTCAATTGTAACCGATTCCATTTAAATTATTGCTAAACATCCAACGTAAATTAGTTTTCTAAAAACCATATTTTTCTTAATAAATAAAGATGTTTCTTTTTGTAAAAATGAGAGGAAAAATTAAAAAACAAAAAGTTCGATTTTTCATAAAATAAAAAATGTAAACTGAATTTTAACAACAGTTTCTATAATTGTGATATAAATTTGAGCAAAAAAATCATCTTTTTTTAACTTTTCCTTCATTTTTGTAAAAAGGCATAATTATGTTAAATAAGAATAACATTGTTTCCGAAAATTAATTTACGTTAGTTTGCTGTATGTCTTTTTCTAATAAAAATTTTGAAAAAAAAAATACATATCGCGATCGCTTCTACCTTTGAATTACGGGGCCCAACCATTTCACACTTTCGTTTATTTTAAATCTTCGAATTTTTTTCAAGGATAACAATTGAATTGAAAAGTTACATATGATTTTGTATATGTAGGATATATTTGATTTGTAAAGGCTTACACGTTGGAAAAAGTTCAGTAGACTTAGAAAATTTATATAACTGTTCAAAAAATCTAAACTTATTTTCTTAAAGAGAAAATTCAAATATTATTAATATTTCTCAGGATTTTTTTTCTGTGCTGTAGAAACTTTATAAAAATTAAAAAGCGAGTTTTTCATGTAAAAAGTAACATTTTAAGTATTAATTTTGAAATTAAGTAATAAAATTAAATTTTATTAAAGTAATAAAATTAAATAAAATTAAATTATTTTGAAAATTCAAATATTATTAATATTTGTCAGGATTTTTTTTCTGTACTGTAGAAACTTTATAAAAATTAAAAAGCGAGTTTTTCATGTAAAAATAACATTTTAAATATTTAATTTTGAAATTATGTAATAAAATTAAATTTTATTAAAGTAATAAAATTAAATAAAATTAAATTATTTTGAAAATTCAAATATTATTAATATTTGTCAGGATTTTTTTTTTCTGAATGTAGAAACTTTATAAAAATTAAAAAGCCAGTTTTTCATGTAAAAACTAACATTTTAAGTATTTAATTTTGAAATTAAGTAATAAAATTAAACGCCCAACGTGGGGCTCGAACCCACGACCCTGAGATTAAGAGTCTCATGCTCTACCGACTGAGCTAGCCGGGCTTGCTTCCAAGAAGCCTTAAATCGAAACAAAGTCCCAATTTAAAAGGAAAATATATATATCCCCAAAGACGAAAATACAGGACACTTGGATTTTTTGTTTATTTTCTATATAACTATGTATAAAAATTAATAGTTCACTTAAAACATAAACCCAACATCAATAATTTGGTGTTTACCTTTATAGTGTTATTCCTTTTACACTCTTTAGATTAAGAATAAAGAAAATCTGTTCAATTTCCACCTTTCCAGAGCATGTGGAGTGAGTTGTTTTTGTTTTTTTAATTAATTTTCTTTGATGGAACAATAAATTCGAATAAAAAATTAATTATTAATTTTTTCTGAAAAGCATGATTTTCAAAATATTTATTAATTTATTTATTTTATAGATACAAATAGGGTTTTAAGTCCTCTTACATATTTTAGAAATAAATTTAGTTTTATAAACATAGTAAAATAATAATGATAATAGCAAACTATATATGTTTAGCAGTCATGATTGACCATATTATTACAATTAAGTAAAACTAAAAAGTATAATTAATAATAGCAATAATATCAAATATCTGGGGGAGTGAATGTGACCAGATTTCTATGATGTATTAATGAATGTAATTTATTAGCGTGAAATTAAGGGATTGTTTAACCCCACTCCGAGAAATATCGAGTACTCTGGGGGAATGATTTTTTTTTGTCATCCTATAAACTTCCCACTTTATTATTACTAATACCAATAATAATAAAATAGTAAAACAATAATGATAATATTATATTCTTTAATATATTAATTGTTTAAAATCGAATGATGAAACCACATTACGAAAGAATAGCAGAAATACAAAAAATGTAAAAGAAAACGGGAATTAACTACTTTATATCGAGATCTCGCCTTTGGCGAACAACGGACCTAGGGCCGCTTTATAGTCCATACCCGGGGGTGTGTCGTACTCTACATCCATGAAGGTCTACAACGGTTTAGGGCCACCGGAAATCGTCGGTGGCCGCAAGGTTTAGTCTTTGACACGGCGCTCATCACTATAAGGTAAAGGTCCCGGGTTCGAATCCAGAGGCCCTGCACAAAAACACCGGCACCCTGAGGGTTTATATGACCTCTGCTGTCATAAAAAAAAAAAAAAATATATATACAGGGTGAATTGCTACTCGTGCTACAAACTTCACCAGTAGATTCTTGACCCTAAAATGAACAAAAAAGTTCATATTGACCATGGTCCGATTCTCAACCATTTCAGAGTAATTTCGCTTTTTATCGATTTTGAAAGATATCACGTCCTGGCGTCGGAAAATCGTGATATCTTTTAATCTAAACATTTCTCTTAAAATCTATAAGCACCGTTGAAATCCCCGTTAATTTTTAGAGAGAATCAAAATCATAATTCCATTGAAATTTTTTAATTTAATTTAATGCCCATTTAGTATGTAATGCTTAAGAAGTTTACAAACAGCTAGAAGGTCAAGGAAGAAAGACCCAAACGTTTTGCCACCTTCATCTTCTTATTGAAAAATTAACGGGGATTTCAACGGTGCTTATAGATTTTAAGAGAAATGTTTAGATTAAAAGATATCACGATTTTCCGACGCCAGGACGTGATATCTTTCAAAATCGATAAAAAGCGAAATTACTCTGAAATGGTTGAGAATCGGACCATGGTCAATATGAACTTTTTTGTTCATTTTAGGGTCAAGAATCTACTGGTGAAGTTTGTAGCACGAGTAGCAATTCACCCTGTATATATACTATAATATAATAATTTTGTTACTGGTGTGGTATCTTTAATTTCGGAAAAAAGTGTGTGAATTGTTTTATAGCTTTTTAAAATGTATTTGTAAAATTTAAGCAATGTTTATAAATCCCAGACCCAGAAGATGATCTCAATAAAGATCCAAACGTTGACACGATAAAAAAAAATTTTTTTTCTAAAACCTACATCACACCAGACCGCATCTCACTATCTCAAAATAACCAGATACAAAAAGGTTTTACCAATATCTTGTTCAAATTAGGCTTGCCTCATTATTGCCCTGAGTAGGAATTATCTTTTTAAAAAGATTAAACAACATACTCACTCCACCATGTATCATTTCTATTAAAAATAAGTATGTTGTAAACAAAATAACAATAAAAGTATATATAGTTGGAAAAAAGTGAGGTTTTCTCGTTTTCTTTGAGTGTATTTTCTTAATATGGTGAAATTAATGGTGAAAAAATTATTGCCATTTTTGGACATGGTTTATGCGTAGAAATATTTGCATTCAATATTTCAAATTTTACATTAAATTTATAAAACAATACAGCACCTGAATCACGGAATACTAAACACAAAATTGAAAACGATTTTAGTATTTTTCTGAAAAGGTTTTTGTGTCAATTCACTTACCCAGTGGTTTCTTTTTCGGTTTGTTTTGATCCTTAAGTTCTCAGAATTAATCTGGTTCGGGGGAGCTCATATCCGGCGGAGACGTTCGTGTCCTGAAGGGCCGAAGGAAGCGGAAAAAAAATCATTTGATCCTGGAAAACTTCATCGCATCCGACGGGCACATTGTTGACGAGACGGGGCCGATCTTGTTCAAAGACGGCTCAAAGGATAGAATAGGACTGGATTTAAATGCCAGTTGATTATCGGTAAAATGGTAAATAATGGATTACACAGGGATGGGATTAACTCCAACAATGCAACAATGCTTTTTTAAACAATAAAAACTGAATCATTTAAAAGCTAGTTAAGTTAACGAATTATAAACATAAAAGGACAATTTTTATCAAGTTAATATTCGATTATTAAATAATAATAAAGTCTTCTTTCTCCTAAAAGGTACAAAAAATATATAAACTTGGAAAGGAAAAATAATTAAAACAGTTTAACATCACATTTATTTATACAATAAAAACAATTCTAGCATCTTATAAATTAATTTTGTTTTAAATCTAAAATTTTTTAGCATTTTATAAATTCATTATTTCTTTTTAATCTAAAATTTTCTAGCATTGTGTAAATTCATTATTTCTTTTTAATCTAAAATTTTCTAACATTGTATAAATTCATTTTTTTTAATCTAAAATTTTCCAGCATTGTATAAATTCATTATTTCTTTTTAATCTAAAATTTTCTAACATTGTATCAATTCATTTTTTTTATCTAAAATTTTCCAGCATTGTATAAATTCATTATTTCTTTTTAATCTAAAATTTTCTAGCATTGTATAAACTTATTATTTCTCTTAATCTAAAATTTTCTAGCATTGTATAAATTATTTTATTTTCTTAACTCCTACATGATTTTGTAAAATTTAAACAATGTTTATAAATCCCAGAAGTTGATCTCAATAAAGATCGAAACGGCACGATAAAGAAAATGTTTTTCTAAAACTTCGTCACACCAGAATGCAATTCACGATCTCCAAATAATTATTTATACAATAAGTTAATTACAACAAACTTCCAGAGCTAGAAACCGGCCCTGCAAGTACAATTTTCTACTAAAATTGTATTGCTCACGTCAAAGATGTTTTAGCAATGGGTTCAGCTTACAAACAGCAGTAAAAACACGTGTTGGCAATTATGTAAATCGCATTCGAGAAACTAAAAATTTATGGAGACCGTTATTTTATCACCTTCAACAAATTTTCTACTGTATAATCTCCAGTTCATTAACGTACACAAACCAATCAATCAATCAATCAATCAATCACCATTTATTTTTCAACATAAAAATAACCCTTGCAGTTTTGCATATCAAATTTGTGTTGTTTTTTTTCATGGAATTTTCAAAATAAAAATAATTTTTATTAATCACACTTTCTATCTCTTGGTTGGGTAGAAAAAGATAATGCCATGAGCGGAATTCGAACCCACGACCTTGGGCACAATACCCGCTGCTATATGCTATCTTGACTTTGTAGTTTTTTTATCCCAAATAATTTAACAGCTAAGGTCATTTCAAGTCCTAACATTAAACCTTCCATCTTGGCTTAGAATGTGTTGGTTTTAGTGTATATTGAGATTGAATGTATTTATTAGCGAGAATGTGTAGTGTGATAGGACGATGATGGAATATTGAGCGTGTGAAAATGTCCTGCATGTAGAGAAAGGTTGCTTGATGGATCTCACTTAATTGAAGGGCTTAATTTCTAAGCTTCACATCCGAATTGTTCTTGAGCACGAAAAGAAGTATTTTGGTCCATAATAACAATTCTGGAAGTTCTTTTATTGCATATAGTACTTGACAGATATCTCGTTTTGTGTATATTGAAAATGAATGTATTTATTAGCGTGAATGTGTAGAGGACTGATGGAATATTTTGTACAGTACACCGCCACCCTAATTGACTGAATGTATGTAAATAGGAAAGAATGTATTTAGGAATGAATGAAAGGGTTTAGAATTTTCAAAATAAAAATAATTTTAATTAATCACACTTTCTATCTCTTGGTTGGGTAGAAAAAGATAATGTCATGAGCGGAATTCGAACCAACGACCTTGGGCACAATACCTGCTGCTATATGCTATCTTGACTTTGTAGTTTTTTTATCCCAAATAATTTAACAGCTAAGGTCATTTCAAGTCCTAACATTAAACCTTCCATCTTGGGTTAGCTTCCTTCTGAGTGCTATATATGCTATGCTCTGACTCCAAACATTCATTCATAAACTAGTGCCATCCAAAGCTTTAATTTATCCTTTTAAAATACTTAACGCAAGACCAAATGTATGAAAAAAAAATTTAATTATAAAATTTATTACTGTTCTTTAATTAGAATTTTGAATTTTTGTTAAAAATTGTAATATCTTTTTAATCTATGTTCATTATCATTTATGTTAATTTAAACATTTCCCATACGCTTGTATGGCCAATAATAATTATTATTATATAAATAGAGTCAGACTAGACTCATTGTTGTCCTTTTATTCTTCCATTCACCTACTATAAATACAGTAATACTACTTAACAATAATAAAACAAAAACACAATAACACTTCTTTTTCTTTGTACTCATTTCATTATATTTCATTTTTCTGCTCAGGCAGCCTCAAAAATTTCTGAAAAAAGAAAGAAATCTTGCACGAAGAACTCTCATTCAGATAATAGCACATTAATGTTCAAAGGTATAAGAATTTGGGTAAAGATCTAAATCTCATTATAAATTCCAATAAATGTAAGAAAGCTGAAAAGTGCTCTTCAAAACAAACACTGGGGACCTAGTAACTCCTTTAAATGACACGAAAGGTTGTGTCTTTGCCTAAAGCGCGACAGCTGACCAAAATATGTTTTACAAACAGAATGATACATTCTCAGCTTGGAATACATCAAGGATAAGTTGGAAAGTTGTTGCCTATTGAATTGGATTAGCCTGATGTGACCTATTCGCTATCTAGAGAGAATCACAAGTTCTTTTCTCTCAAGTTCCTTAGTTGGCCATTTATGTACAACTGATTCAATTTCTTTCATACTAGCTCAACAGATATTCCATCTTGCCGCTGTCTTTTTTTTGATAATGTTTTTAACATAAACAACTATATCATCTGGGTGGAGAGGAAATTGATCTATTCTTGTGGATGGTTTCCAGCATTCTTATATATAACTATTATTATATTTATTAACGTAAATATATACAAAACTTATATATAATATACATAACATTATATATACATTATATTAACAATGCACATTCAATTTGCATTCACACAAATAAATACATTCACATCCATATACACTGCATTCATTCTATTTAGTAGTTTCATAGGGTACTTTCATAAATATTCCGCAATCGACCCAAGTCATACAGCTCGAGAGGCGATGGGGATACTGTTTCATCTTCAGCTCCTCCCCATTCACTCTAATAAATACACTCACTCCTATAAAACACATAAATACATGTTTTTACGGCCATATACAACAAAAAATTCCCGATTCCACTGAAAAGCGGCACAGGGGACTCTGAAACTCGCTACTGTGTCCATGAACCATTCTTAAATCCGGCGGCATACATGCTCTCTGTTTGTAAGCAAGGCATGACACACCTCGCATAAGGGTTACCTGCACGGGTTTGGTCCAAAAGTAGGTGCCTATGCATGGCACAAATGAGAAGCTAGCATTTTAGACAATTGACTAAGTTTTACATAAAAGCAGAGAGTCAGTAACAGATTGAGACTCTCCAATGGCTACAGGCTGAAAAATATGCGTAAAAGACCAGAAAAAGAAGTAAAAACAGAGATGACCTCAGCTGTTTGTCAGCCCCTAAACTTTTCAACATTATTATTATTTTTGTGTGGTGTTTATTGACCGTTAGTCAATGATTATTTAGAGATCGTAAGATGCGGTCTGGTGTGACGTACGCTTTAGAAAAACATTTTCTTTATCGTGCCAACATTTCAATCTTTATTGAGATCATCTTCAGGGCTTGGGATTTATAAACACTGTTAAATTTTACAAATACATGTAGGATGTGAAAAAAAATGAATTTATACAATGCTGGAAAATTTAGATTCAATTAAAGTATTTGTACTCACTCAAAGTGTTTGTTTTCTGTGTATAATTTTTTTCACATCCTACATGTACTTGTGAAATTTATAATTGTTGTAACAATGTTTATAAATCCCAGGCCCTGAAGATGATCTCAATAAAGGTAGGTTGTCATTGCCCTTGTGGTAGATAGATTTGCCAATATTTGCAATACTAATTTTTGAGTTTGTTTTTGTTGGGATTTAATCCACCAGAAGAATGGGTGCTATTTGGGTAAACATTGCAATATAATACTCAGAAATTGAAACCAACATTTTTTTAAAAATTTGTATGATTTTCTATCTGTTGGATCAACTTTCTAAGTTCGGTATAAATAATGAAATTTGGAAATTTAAAAAGGATTATAAGTCGATAAGAAGATTTCTAAATTTTTCAAACTTACCTTAAAAAAATAGGTCTAATTGGTTTAATAACAATGGTACCATTTAGACTACCTTTCCTTCCAAAATCTCAGATAAAATGAGTTCCTTGGTTCTCAATAGCAAAACTTAAAACTTACCTAAGGATGCTTGAATGGTATGCAAATAATTTTTATGCTGTCTGTTTCATTTTGTACTTATTTATATTATTATTTTAAGTTGGAAGAGTTGATTACGTTCTTAAAAACTAAAGGAATAATATGTTAAATAACATCAAAAACAGCATAAAAGAAAACTCAATGAAAACATGCTGACAAGGCATTAAATATTGTAAATTTGCAAAGGAATTATTAAACAATAATAGCAAACATTTAAACACTTTTATGATAAATACAGTGGCAGCATGGGCTTTTTGTTATTAAGTTAATTTCAGTGTGAATATCAATTAGCAAATGCAGAAGGATAAATAATAGAGGCAAAGGCATGAACCATCAGTAATTTTATTTATTATAATACATCAATATAAATTTGCAAAAACAAATAAATAAGCTTTCCACAATACCAGATGTATCTGGTTTAAAAAAAATGTGTTTGTCGTAATCAAATACAAAAGGAATGTATTAATTTCTCTCTTTTTTTCAATTTTTTTTTCATGTTAAACTATTTAAAATTATAACATAAGTGGTGCAAGCAGAATGAATTTTGCTTATTTGTGCAAACTCAC